AAAACCTTCACCACCAACGCGTGGACACCATCATCGTCATCGGCGTGAACAGCATCGGGACCAGAATCGGCGCCGTCATTGGCCTTGCCGTCGTCGTCATCACCATCGCCAACTATCATCATCGTGTATGTCGTTGTTGATGTCGCCATGACACCGCGCCCGCCCGAACCGCCGACCCTCCCTGAAGTGCCCGCGCGTCAGCGCGACCTGCGAGACGCGTTGGGAATTCACCACAGGTCAGCGCCACCGCCGTCGAGTCGGTCGCGCCAGACAAGCCGGCCACTCTGTGCGCGAGCTTGCACGCGTTAGCGCGGTTGCAGTGATGCGCCAGCCAGCGCAAAGCAATCATCGCAATCGCCACTGCCGGGGTTTTGCGAACCAAGTTGCGGGTGGGTGGGCGGGATGATTGCGTGGCCAGTGGCGCGGGCAATGCGCGAGTGAGCATAATTTAATTCTTCACGCTTCGCGTATCCCCACCAGCCCATCTCAAAACAGCAACTCTAGCGAAGCATGGCGACAGTCGTGTTTTTCAGGCGTGTTTCCGCCTGCCCCCGCATATCTCCCCTGTTCCTCCTTCCTCCCGCCTCCTTGTACATCCTCCTTGTGGTGGGAGCGGGAGAAGGACGAGGCGGAGGAGGAGGGAGAGAAAGCGCTCCTCGTGGTTTGAGTCGTTTGGGGTTTCTCGTCCTGGTGTGAGTCGTTCGGGCCCTTCTTCCTGGTGTGAGTCGTTCGGGCTCTTCGTGGTGTGAGTCGTTCGGGCTCTTCGTCCTGGTGTGAGTCGTTCGGGCTTCTCGTGGTGTGAGTTGTTCGGGCCCCTCGTCCTGGTGTGAGTCGTTCGGGCCCCTCCTCCTGCCCGTCCAGAAATGACGCCCAGGCGAGTAGAGGGTCGTCCTGATGGGCTTTTCGTCTGGGGTGCCTCGGGGGGGCCTCTTTGGGCCGTTTGGGATCCTCTTGGGGGCCTCCTGGGGGCCTCTTAGGGCCATCTTGGGGCCTCTTGGTGCCTCCTGGGCGCTTCTTGGGGCCATCTTGGAGGAAAGCGATCAAAGAAGAGGGGAGCTTTAATTAGCGCTGCCCCCTCAGAAGGCCAAAATGGGGCCAAAACCTTAGTAACATCAATGATTTTGGCTTGAAAGAAGAGGGGAGCTTTAATTAGCGCTACCCCCATCAGAAGGCCAAAATGGGGCCCAAACCGTAGTCAAATCAATGATTTTGGCTTCAAAGAAGAGGGGAGCACTTTTCTGCCTCCCCCCGTCGGGGCCAGAATCCTCGTGAGGGGTGTCGTTTTTTAGCCCTCCCAGGAGTCGAAAAAGACCCGTCCAACGACCCGCGGGGCGCCCTCTCCAGGCCCAGGGGGAGGGGGTAGGGGGAGGGGTAAACCCCTCCCCGAAGGGGAAGAAGGGGGGTTGAGAACAGAGCGGGCTCTCTAAACCACTCACGCCCAAAGGGCTGGTGGGATTCGCTTTCCTAAGAAGGAACTAGAATCTACTGGCCCCCCCTGAGGCAGGGATTACCCGCCCGCACCGGGAATGTGCAATTTACATACGATTCTGCCCCATCGTTCATTCTCACCGTGCATTCATATGGTCCCACCCAAACTGGCATCGACACCCCCCCATCATCAATTAAAAAAGTTATGCGCGCGCACTGACTCACCTTCAAACATTTGGTTAAGAGCCCTTTCGCGCAAAAATGAGATAAAAAAAAGCGCGCGCGTCGTCGTCGCGCGCGCATCCCGAAATCCATCAAAAATCCCAAGGTGTCATATGGTTTCCGAAATCGACCGCCCCGAAAACATTTAGAAATATTGTTTCGCACTAAGAAGGTTCAAACAAACCTGCGTTTGCGCTCTTGCGAATTCATGAGAAAACCATTGGTTATCGACATGAATATGACATGCCAGCAAACATGTCCCCCGCGCGCGCGTGTCGAAATCATTCGAACGCCATTGCGTTCGTGCTGTCGCAAGAACCCCCTGCAAACAATGGTTCGAAAAGCCACGCGCGGGTCGTCGCGCGCAATTGACAACATCTTTCATAACCTGATATGTGTCGTTGGGATTTTCAACTCGAGTGCCCCAGAAAGTCGAAATGTACAATGGTCTCGCAAGAGAAGTTTTCAAAACCAAAACAAAATGTGCTCGCGCAGTTGCGAATATGTAAGAAAACCAGATTTGTTTAGCATGCCCATCACATTATACCATACGTGCCTCTCGCGCGCGCATGTCGAAATCACTCGAACGCCCTTGCGGGCTTGTTGGGGGGTGCACGTGCCCTGTCAAATAGCACCATGCAGGCCGCTCGCGCGCGTCAGCCGCGCGCGCATGTCGAAATCCTTCCCATAATTTCGTCACCGACACCGGGACACCATCAGCGTCGTCGGCGTGACCAGCATTGGCGCCGTCATTGTCCTTGCCGTCGTCATTGTCATCGTCGCCACCAGCGTCGTTACCAACATCATCGTGTGTACCGTTGTCGACGTCGCCATGACACCGTGCCCGCCCGAGCCACCGACTCGCACTGATTTGCCAGCGCGGCCTCGTAGTCGCGTCGGTCGCGCCAGACTAGCTGGCCGTTCTGCGCGCGAGCCTGCGCGCGCTAGCGCGGCTGCAGCAACGCCCCAGCCAGCGCCAACCAGCCATCGCAATCAACAACCAGCAGGCCGATGGGCGGGGTGATTGCGCGAGCATGGGAGGTGGTCACGCGCGAAGACGCCAAAGCCATTGCACGACATAGAGTGCACCACATAGTTTGCATACCATAGATTGAACCACGCAGGTTGCACGACATGGGTTGCGCGACGTACGTTGCACCCCATAGATTACACAACATACGTCGCGCCACCTAGACTGCACCTCATCAGCTGCACAAGGTAGGTTACGCCACATAGAGTGCATTGCGTACGCTTCAACACAAAACTACCTATGGAGCCCACGGTGGCTGACATGCACATTCCTCTTCCTATATTTTTATAAGCCCGGGCGGGAGGAAAACCCATCCCCCCCCCCCCAAACCGGGCTCCCGGGATCTGGGGTTTTGGGACCCTCCGGACGGGCCTCGAAGCGGTGCCCGGGCTTCGCAGGGCGTTTTGCCAAGCCTCCAGCACACCCAGGGCGATCAGGGGGGTCATCGGAGACGTCCCAGGCACCCCCAAGACAGCACAAGAGCGCTCCAAGAGTGACCGAGGGGACCTCAAGATGGCCGAGAGGCCCCCAGGACTGCCCCAAAGAGGCCTCCAAGAGCACTCCCAAGGTCCCAAGAGGCACAAATCATTGATTTTCTGGTGGTTTTTGGTGAATTTTGGGGTTCTCCTCTTTTCGGTTTCCCGACGCTCCAAGACGGCGATCTTCTGGGCGTCCGAAGCCGCCTGGGAGGCTCCAAAATCGCCCCACAACCATCCGAAAGGGCTTCCAGGCAGTCCAAGAGCTCCAAAACGGCACAACACGGGTCCAAGATGGCCCTCGGAGAGCCCCGTGGCGGCCCAAGATGGCCCCAAGACACCCTCCGAAGCATTCCATATCGTGACACGGTCGTTCAGCGAGACCGCGGTTGGAGGCAGGGTGGCCCGAGGAAGCCCCCAGAGGCCCCCAGAATACGCCCAGGAGGCCTCCAGAAGGCCTTAAGGAAGCCTGAAACAACTTTTGTGAGGCCCCCAGAGGCTCTCCAAGGAGGAGCCTCCGCAAAAAAGAGCTGAGGAGGATGGGGAGAATGTGCAGGGTATGGCGAACATGAGGAAAAAGAAACATGGAGGAAGGATAACGAATAACATTATTATAGCGGCGACGCCGGAAAAGGCAACAAGGAGTTATCGCTAAATTGTCGGTTTGGCCTTCCTGCTATTCCACCTGCATACCAAGCTTCAAGGACCAAGGTGCATGGCGCGAAGCGCCACTGCAGTCTTGTGCATATATATATATGTGTAAGTATGTCCAATTGCACGCATGTGTGTATGTATGTCTCGCCTGTATGTGTGTATGTATGTATGTTTATGTGTATGTATGTATGTATGCATGCATGCATGCATGTATGTATGTATGCATGTATTGATGTGTGTATGTATTTGTGTATGTGTATGTATGTATGTATGTATGTATGTATATGTATATGTATATGTATATGTATATGTATATGTATATGTATATGTATATGTATATGTATATGTATATGTATATGTATATGTATGTATGTATATGTATATGTATGCATGCATGCATGCATGCATGCATTTATGTATGTATGTATGTATGTATGTATGTATGTATGTATGGATATGTGTATGTTTGTGTGTATGTGTGTATGTATGTATGCATGTATGTATGTGTGTATGCATGCATGCATGCATGCATGCATGCATGCATGTATGTATGTATGTATGTATGTATGTATGTATGTACATTGTATGTTTACAGATATGCATAGTCATTGTCCGCCCTCTCCCCGTCATATCTGCCGACCTTTGTCAGTCATCACCTCTTCAATGCGTGCATACTGGTGTTCCCACCCACCAATACGCATGTGTGTCGACGCGTGTCTGTTGACATGCATTCATAGTTACTTGTAGTATGTGCACGTGTCTTGGATGTGCACCACAGAATGTTATGTCCGACGGCCCGCTTGCAGAGTACTGGTTCTTCTACTTGTATGACAGACATACTGGTGGCGTGTTTCCAGATTCTGCCACCGCTGCTGCGGCGATTGCCCCCCCCCCCCCCCCCTACCTCAATCAGTGCCTTGCGGCATCTAGTACGACAGTTTGCGCTGGCAGTAGACATTCCTTGGATGTGTCGTCGTTCGGCCGACCCGACTGCTCCACGACTAGTACCACGACTGCTACCGCAACTGCTGTTGACACTGTACTCTTTTCTGCCTTGTGCCCACCCTCGCCTCATCCCCTGCCTCTTGCTCCTCTAACCTGCTCGACCACCCTGGTCATCCTGCGTATTCCTCCTCCTCCTCCTCCACCTACTCCTCTTCCCTCCCAGATCCGCCGCGGGCCCACAGAAGGTGTCCCGTGCTGGACGCCCCCAACGCCTCGGAGTTGATGGCGCATTCCACCGCCTCGCTGCCGCACAAGCAGGACCAGCTGCAGCGCCAGAGCAGCGGGCTCGACCGTCTTCCTCCTCCACCGTCTTTCCTTCCTCTTTCTTTTTTCTCCTCGCCTCCTCCTCCTCCCTTTTTTCCTCATCGCAACCTCTTTCCTCCTCAACCCCTCCTCGCCACCTCTTTCCTCTTTCTTCCTCTTCCTTCATCTTTCCTCCTCCTTCCTCCTCCTCCTCCTCTTCCTCCTTCCTTCCTCCTCCTCCTTTTGCTCCTCTCTCTTCCTCCTGCCTCCTCCCCTTCCTCCTCCTCCCCTTCCTCCTCCTCCCCTTCCTCCTCCTCCTCCTGCTCCTCCTCCTCCTCTTCCTCGTTCTCCTCGTCCCTCCTCCTTACTCCTCATCTTACTGCTCATTTTCCCTCCCTACCTCCCTCCCTACTCCTACTTCCCCTCGACCGCAGTCGCACATAATCGTTCCTCTTCCTCATCATCAGCATCATCATCAACATCATCATCATCGTTATTATTAATATCATCGTCATCATCATCATTATTATTATTATTCAGCATCAGCATCAGCATCAGCAGCATAATCATCATCACCATCATTATCGCCATCACCATCGTCATCATCACCATCATCATCATCAGTGTCAGCATGCCCCTCCTCATCCTCATTCTCATCATCCTCATCCTCATCCCCATAACCTCCTCCTTCTCCTTCTTCCTCCTCCTTCCTCCTCATCCTCATCCTCCTCCTCATCCTCCTCATCCTTCGTTTCTCGCCACCGTGTTCCTCATCTTCGCCACTATTTACCTCATTTCCCTCGTTCTCGTCGTCCTCGCCGCCCATACCCCCCACCCACCCTCCTGCCGCGGTGTCTCCGCTCGCACTGGCTCCCATGCTTGGTGCTCTAAGCCCCGACCAGACCGAGCTAGTCGATACATCCAAAACCTTAGACCCCAGACATCCAAGATCCAGAAGCAAAAAATTAGACCCCAGACATCCAAAGTAGCCCCGACATCCAAGATCCACTTGTAGACCCCGGACATCCAAGGTCCGGATGCTTCCAAGTTTTCCCCAGACATCAAAGGCGTCCATACTGCCCAAATTCTTGGCGCTGTTCGCTTCGCTGCTTTTTCCTTTGCTACGGCGCGGCCCACCCTAGCTTGCTCGGCGTTCGACTTGTCTTCGCGCGCCCGCGTACCAAAAGTAACCCCACCAGCCCATCCAGACACGATCAGAGGCTTTCTTGAGGCTATCGTCAGCCATGTTCGGCTAGAGGCTGTCGGGGCTATCCTGAGCCATGCAAAGCTATCTTGGACCGTCTTGTAACTGTATGGAGGCCTCTGGGAGGTCTGTCGGAGGCTATCTCAAGCCATGCTCGACCTCGTGGGGCCATCTTGGGAACAGGAGTAGGAAAAGGAGGAGGATGATGAGGAGGAGGAGTAGAAAGAGGAAGAGTAGGAGGACGGAGAAAAGGAGAGGAAGGAGACGGGGGGAATAATACGAGGAGGAGGAGGAGGGGGATGAGGAGGAGGAATAGGGGCATGTATTCTGAGTTGTTCCACCACTGTTCTGGCGTGGCCCTTGCCCTTGAGCGTTGTCTGCGACTGTGCGCGCATGTGCGTGGCGTGCGCGGGAATCCTTAGTGAATGTACAGCGTTACATACATCAGGCGATGCACTAGGTGCCCACACCGCAGTTGCTTGCCCCGGCGCTGCCCGCGCATGCCCGCACACTGCGCCGCTGGTGCCCGCACGTGGTACCGTTCGTGGACGCGCAGTTACAGAGGGCCGCGCGCGGCTGCACATGCCCGCACAGCTCCGCACAGCAGGCCGCACATGCCCCCATTGCCCTTGCCCCGCACCTCCACACATGGCCGCACACCCCTTTGCGGACGACCGCGCATGCCCGCAGATGGCGCCGGTCGTGGCCGCGTTGGGGTGCACGGCCACGCGCGGCCACACATGCTTGCACAGCGCCGCAACGGGAAGAAGGAGGGGGAGGAGGAGAGCAAAAGGAAGAGGAGGAGGAGGAAGAGGAGGAGGAGGAGGAGGAGGAGGAGGAGGAAGAGGTCCGTAGCCAGTGTGGCTCAAGTTTAAAGCCGCTTGCCCTGGCGGTTTTAGCTTGTACGCAGGCGAGGGGCTGGCCCGAGTCCGCCAGCTTTTCAATTTCCGATCTCCACAGGAGTTTCAGGCGCTGTGGACCCATTTTAGCCCCCCGCAGCAGCGCGATGCACCGGCAGCGTGGAGCGTTCACTGTAGACCTTGCAGCTGCGCTCGACGCCGCGCCCGCCTTCCCGTCTCTGGGGGCGCCGCGCGATGCAAGGGACGTTCCAGGTGGGACAGAGAGTCCGCGCGAGCTGGCCAGGCATGGTGGTGAAAATAATCCTGCGGCTGCTTTGGCTCAGCTGCGTGGCTTCGTTGACAGCACTCGCTCCGAGCTCATGGAAGCCGTTGGCAAACTCCAGGAGTCAGTCAACTCGTTCGGCAAGTCAGTCGGCACCAGCTGCGACGCTCTCAACGAGAAGGTGGAGGTCCGCTCCGCCGAGGTCGAGAACCACCAGAACGTGTCATACGCGAGAGTCAGCAAAATGGAGCAGCAAATTGATGAACGACTTATCTCTCGTTCACTACATCAGAGCGGAGGAGCCGCAGGCCGCCGTCCTGGATTCGACGTTCAACAGACACGTCGACCCGTGCATCCTGGTAGCGAGGTGCAGAGCAGCGGTCGCTCGTGAGGATGTGGGGCGCGTCCTCGAGCCCAGGTTCCAGCGAGCCCAGATCGGCAGAGAAGACTACCAGTTCAGTGCTGACCCCGCGGGCAAGAAGTTCACCTTCAGGATCAAGGGGAACGCCACCTACGCGCAGCGTAAGGTGGCCCAGGCGATCGGTGCTCTTCGTCTTCCTTCGGGAGAGCGGGAGCGCCACGCGGCAGAGGATGTTCTGGGCCAGCGGGCCGAGCTGTTCGCCGGCGCGGATAAGTCGCCGGCCACGGTCAAGAAAGAGTTGGCGATCAAGCAGCAGCTGTGCGCATATTCGAGACCTGGGGGCCCAGCCACTCTTTTGCCCCGAAGAGGATGCTCAGCTACGTCGATAAGCACTTTACGTCGCTCCCAGGGCGGCCATGCGGGCATATTCGACTCGCGGGTTCGGTGGTGGAGCCGCCCGAGCTCCTCTTCAAGCGCGGCATCAGTGACCGCGCGCCCGTTCAGGTCACGGTCGCTCCAAGGCGCCAAGTTCCAATCGATGAACGACCAAGCCCCCCGAGGTTCGCGGGCATCCCGAGCGTCGGGAGTTCCTGGGCCGAATCGGATCGGAGCGTGGCCAGAGCTGGCTGAGCCCGCCGCTGCGCCTGGAGCAACGCGCCCAGATGACGAGGGAAGCTGCTGCGCCGGCTCGGGGTAGTCTCATCGCCAAGTCGCCCGGCTCGCCTTTCACCTGGCTTATGACTATAAAGAGTATCGGGCGGGCCGCCGCGGCGGACCTTGGAGGCGTGGCGCGTGAGGGGGCGGAACTTCGGGCTCAACATTCTCGAGCCTGACGCGGGGGGTCGGGAGGTGTCTCTGGCGTCGGACGCAGCCGTTCGGCCCTCGGCCCTTCCTGCCTTCGATTGCGGCCAGGCCTTTCCGTCAGCGACCCATGACTGGATCATGATGACGCTGGAGGCCTTCCGTGTTCCCTTGCCGCTGGTGACCTTGGTTGAGCACTCGTGCTTCCGCGTCCGCTGCCATGGCGCCCACGGCCGCGCGCGCGCATCCTTGACATCCCCTCTGGCATCATCCGAGAGCGCCCTGGCTCAGGATCTCTCTTTGCTGTCGGAAGCCACCCCTTCGTGAGCGACTTCTATCGTAGACTCAAAGGACGCGACGATCACCCCGGCCTCTCCCTGCAAGAAGAGCTGATCGATGGCGCGAGGAGGAGATGCACGAGCATCGCCCGCGCCTGCGCTGATGACGTCGGAGCCGTGGTCGAGCAACTGCGAGAACTGCATCAGCTGAAGGCGGTCTTCGATTCTAGTGAGGCGCTGGCTCGTCTCACCCTCGAGAATATGAAGTGTTCCCTGGTCCCGCTCGCTGGGGGGGTCTCTCCCGCCCTCGTCGCCAAGTGCCGATGCTGGCTTCGGAATCAGATTCCGTCCTGGGGCTCTTCTCAGATTGTTGATTCTCTCACGTATCTCGGACTGGGCCTCGGCCCATCGGCCACCGCTCACTGTTGGCGCATTGGCGCAAGCCTGTGGCCAAGTGGTCTTCGCGATGCGCCGTCATCTCACTTTCTGGCGCTCCCGCGTCCATCGCCGAATACATGTGCTCTAGCCGTGCTGCGTCCACTCTCTTTCTCTCTCTCTCCCTCTCTTTCTCTCTTTCTCTCTCTCTCTCTCTCTCTCTCTCTTACGTCGCCCAACGCTGTGCTGTTCCTGATTTCTGCCCTGTCCTCTCATCTCCTCTCTCCCGCGCGGAACTCGCCTCCTTCGCCTCTCTCTTCAAGGCCCCGCGCTGTGCCATCTCTCGCGGCGGCCGGTTTAGCTTTGGCTCCTGGGGCGGACCGCGCCTCGCGAGCCTGCGGGCGACGCGCACAGCTATTCTTGACGTTTCCCGAGCACGCTCGGATCCGGGATGACCTCCGAGAGTTTGGGAGCTGTTACCCGGCGGTGGAAGATTTCCCCGCCCGGAAGTGCTCGCCGAGATGTTGGAAAACCCTTGCAATGGCCGAGACTATTGGCAACGCTGCTGTAGATTTGCCCTCTTGGGCGGCCTTTGGGGCTTTTTGATATGTGTTGAGGCTGTTTTGGGAGCCTCTTGCGCCGTCTTGGGCCGCCTTGGTGCCATCTTGGCTGCCTTGAGCGCCGCCCTGGAGGCCATGAGGCTTCCAATAAGGCTTCAAGATAGATCAAGAGGCCCCCAAAACGTCCCAAAAGATCTCCAAGAGGCCACCCAGGAGAGCCCGAGGAGGCGCAAACCATTGATTTTATGATTTCGACGTTCTGCCATGTTCGGGTATCCGACACCCAAGACAGCCAACGAGGCCTCTTTGGGCCGAGTTTCTGCTTTGATGGAGCGTTTCAGGGCCGTCTCGGGGCCGTCTTCGGAGCCCCATTGGGCAATCAGTCGGTCCTCTTGGCCCGACCTGGGGCACTCATTGGAGGCCTCTTGGGCTGTCTCGGCGCTGTATCGGAGGCCTCTTGGAGGCCTCTGGGGCCGTCTTGGGCGGTCGGGAGCACGAAGAGGCGAGAACTTCAAAATCCCTGAAAATCTAAGGAACATCAACAATGATTTCGGCCTCCCAGGGTTCTCCAGGAAGGCCCTTTGGAGCTCTCTCGGGCCGTCTTGGGGCCTCTTGGGCCTTCGTGAGGCCTTTGGAGCCGCTTGGGCCGTTGTGAGGCTGTTTTGAGAGGCTCTTGAGCTATCGCGGGCGCATCTTGAGCCGTTGTGTTGTCATCGGCTGTCTTGGAAGCCCTCTTGAAGGCCATCTTGGCCATCTGGAGGCCGAGTAGACTTCCAGAAACCAATTTCCGAGGGAGCGGTTTTCGACAGGTATTTGCGGGGAGGGGGGGTGCCGGCCCTAGAAAGCAAGCAAGTATTCTAACACGCCCTTTCCGTGCTGGCACGGTGGCGGATTGTTGCTCTCGGCGCACCACGGCAGCTCCAGTGGGGCCACCGAAATTATCAGCTCCACGTGCGCCACTGGCTTCGATGCTGCAGCACCTGGATGTTCAAAATGCCTTCCCAGGCTCGAGCGCAAGAATTCTGACCCGTTTGCTTGCAAGTTTTGCTGCAAGTCGGGTTGGGCCGAAAGGATGGCCGCTTGGCTTGCATAGCCATTGTTTCTCTTTCTTCTCTTACTATCTCTCTCTCTCTTTCTCTGCACAGCGCGGAGAACGCGGCGGCCTGCAGAGATGTGGCGGAGGCATTGGCCAACGACGTCGTGAAGACTGTCTCGCATACCTATCCACTGTGGGTGTGGTAGTCTCGGCCGTCCCGTCCATGGATTCTGACCACGAGTTCAACGCCACGGACCGTGCCAGGGAGATGTTGCACCTGACCCGGCAGGCGCAATTTGGCGACTTCACCCACTCGCCGAGCAGCGACTGCCTGCTCACGAACGGGCAGCGCGCTGCGTCCGTGAACCAGCTCCTGGCGCTGTCCCTGCAGCAGCCCGCTCCCGTACTCGCCACTGCAGCAGTCTCGACGGTCGTCCGCGCCTGCTGCCGAGCTGCTTTCGCGGGCGGCGCCATCGGCCTCGAGCTCCGGGCCGAGGTCGTGAACGGCATGGGTCACGTGCTCGCTGGTGGCGGGCAATCACTTTTTGCCCAGTGTGGCCTCGGCGTGAGCGCGCGCGCTGCCGTGTTTCCTCACGCAGATTGCCGTGGACGGGCACGACCCAGCCCAGTTCGGGGCCTATGACCCCGATACGAAGTGCCGCGAGAACGCGCAGAGTCTAACGATATGCGGCCTTGTGTTGGTTTTCGCGGTCGTCGGCGGCCCAGTCTACTGGCTGACGATATTACGTCGCCAGCACGGGGCGCAGCAGGCAGGACCCATGAGATTCCTGGCGGGATCCTACCCCCCTGGCTTCAAGTGGTGGGAGGCAGGCCGCCTCGGCAAGACGATGCTGATCGCATCGGTCGTCACGGCGTCACATGCAAGCTACTGCCCACTGCAGCAGCTCACGCTTTGCCTCCTGATCACTCTAGCCTTCAACCTCTGGCACTGCTCCAACTGCCCGTACAAATGTCCTGTGCTCAACGCTGTGGAGGGTGCTCTCGGAGCTGGCATGGTGCTCTCGGAGCTGCTGGCCGGTTCCAAGTGGCCGCTCACCCGTGGCAACAAGAGCATCATCATCATCGGCATCGCAGCGCTGCTGATCACTTACTTCGTTGCGCTGGTGGGTCTCTGGGTGAAGGTCAAATTCTGCTGGACCGAGGACGTCAACAACGATCTGCTCGCAGATGGCGACGTTGCCACGAACTAGTGAGCACACTGCAAGCAATGGATATCGTCTTCGTTTCATCACATTATCCTCTTTACCCTGCTCCCCTCTGGACTCCAGTCGTCCAGAGGCCGTCGGGTCTCTGTGACATGCTCTCAAGTGTCTCTGTACCCTCTCCTCTCGCTTTGCCTCATGCCGCCCATTGCAATCTCCCTTCCTAATCCTCCTTCCTCCTGGATCTCGCGCCTGCATCACCCGCACCACCCGGCGCAACCAAGCTCGCCGGAGCAACGCTTGGGCCTTGTGGATGGCTGGACTCTTGGAGCATAATTTGCAGACCAAAAACATGTTGATGTCGGGATCAGAAGAGTGGTCTGGTCAGCGCTCGACTCGGCCAGATGCTCGGGAGTCCCGGGTGATGACTTGATTGGTTTTTGGCGGCAGTTACACAACTGATTGGCCAGGTCGGTGCATGATGGGCATCCAGAGTAGCGTCCGCGTGGCGAGCGGTAGGCTCCTGGCCCACGGGGTGCTGAAGGGCAGCGCGGACGACTCGTGGCCACAGAGTCCTGCCCACGGCGTCCCACGCTGCATTTCTGTTGTGTGCTTCTGTGTCTGTGCGTGCCAGGCGTTTCTCTCCTTGCCCCCATCTTGGAGTCGGCTGGGGGTCCGAGGTGGCCGAGCTCTGGTTCCTGCGGGCAGGAAGGGGGTCCGAGATGCTTTTTCCAGACCCTCCTGTGATGGGCTTCTCGTTTTGACTAGAGCACTGCGGTCTCCACTTTCTACCTCTCGCTTCCGTCCCCCTCTCTCTTCCTGCCTCCTGCCTGCTTCCTGTATCCTGCCTCGAGGTCCTGCCCGGGGGGCCGTTGCTGCCTGGGTTGGGTTCTCGTTTTGAATAGCGCACTGCGGTGTCCATATTCCGCCCCCCTCATCCTCTATTCCATCCTCCTCTGCTCTCTCCTGCCCTGCCTCCTACTTCGCCGTCCTACCTGGGGGCTCGCTGGGGTCCAGCTGAGAGACGTCCTACGCAGATTCAGAACTGACCAGTCCTGGGGTGGGCTGCGAATTTCGAAACCGTCGCCATTTTCGAGAGCTTCTGGTGGGTCCAGCATAGCGACGTCCTACGCATATTCATTTTAGAGTTGACCATCCTTGGGGGGCTGCGAACTGCAAAACTGTCGACACGTTTGAGGGCTGCTGGCGGGTTCAGCATAGTGACGTCCTGCACATATTCAGATTCGACCTCACCAGCCCTGGGGGCTGCGAACTGCGAAACGGAAGCAGGAGGAGGAGGCGGTGGTGGGGCGGGATGAGGGAGGAGGGGGAGGAGTATAAGGAGGAGAAGTAGGAGAAGTAAGAGGGGGAGGAGGGGGAAGATGAGGAGGAGGAGGAGGAGGAGCAGCAGCAGCAGCAGGAGCAGGAGCAGGAGCAGGAGCAGGAGGAGGAGGACATAAATGGAGATTGCGGTTTCCAGGGACGCCCCTAATTTCAGGTTGTGTCCCTCGTTTCTTCGGGCGAGTGCAGTGTTTCTCGATCCTTCTGGCGACATCCAGCGTCGTGGCCATCTGCCTTTTCCCTGCACGATGTGGGCACCTCAAACATCCGTCTTCAGGATTGTAGGAAGAAGGATAAGGAGGAGCAGCAGCAGGACAAGTAGCGCAGGAGGAGGAAGAGGGAGAGGAGGATGAGGTAAAGTGAAAGAGGATGGGAAGAGCAGGGGGAAGGGGCAGAGACGACACATGAAGAATGACGACGAGGAGCACGAGGGGAGGAGAGGGACGAGAAGGAGGAGGCACGCTAGGCGCGCTCGGCGCGCTCGCGCCATGTCGGACATCAGACCCCTCCCACCCATCCCTTCCCATTGCACTGAATCCTTTTCTATCGGCTGGGGTGTCCTGGGTCACCTTGATCCCCCAAATTACCCATCGTGTATGATGCGAAGGTGGCGGATCAGCAGGAGGATGAGCAGGAGGAATAGTTTGATGAGGAGTAAGTAGGAGGAGGAGGAGCAGGAGCAGGAGCGCCAGGAGCCCCAGAGGAAGGTGGATGAGAGCAATGGAGGGGCATTTCAACGATGTAGAACGAGTCGGATCAAGAAACGTGGCCCGCGCTAGGGCGAGAGAGCAAATCTGGACAACGGGGGCAAAGCGCATATCCTGAAATGCGGCCGCAGCGGGAGCATACTTTGTTTACCCGCAAGTGCCTGATATAACAAACGCATCGGGGGGTAAGCAACGTGTTGAAGTCCTTTGGGAGTTGAAATCCATATTCGGCCAAGGGGCGTCCCAGCGAAGCATAGTTTCAGAGCAGAGCAGCATAGTAGAAGCATGCTGTGCAGCTGCAGGGGGACGAGGAGGAGGAGCAAGGGCAGCGAGAGGAGGAAAACAAGCGGAAGAAGGAGGGTGGCGGGCGGACGGAGGGCGGCGGGGCCGCGGTATTATGCCCACCTGGTGGCGGGCGCAGTGTCGCAACCTGGTCAGCATCAGCGTCGCCGTGCCCATCGGCAGGTCGCCAGTGGACGCCGCCCCCGAGAGGTGACCTGACCAAGCCAACTGCATGTCAGATGTGACCTGATCGAGAGGGAGCTGGTCGAGAGAGAGAGAGGAAAAAGAGAAAGAGAGAGAGGATCAGGAAGGGCCGTGCCGGCCCCCCCCAGGGAGGAGGAGGAGAAGGAGGAGTAGGAGGAGGAGGAGGAGGAGGAGGAGGAGGAGGACGAGGAGAGGAGGATGAAGAGAGAGGAGGAGGAGGAGGAGGAGGAGGGGAGGAGTTCCGAGGAGGAGGAGGAGGAGGAGTAGGAGGAGGAGGAGAAGGAGGAGGATAATGAGGAGGAGGAGGAGGCGGAGGAGGAGGCCGAGGAGGAGAAGCCCCCCGCGGCGGCGGCGGCGCGCCCGGGCGGCCGCACGGCCAGTGCCGACGCCGCCAGCAGCAGCCGCCGCCACCGGCCTCGGCGTCGCCGCCGCCGCCCCGCAGGAGTTCACTGCGGACGCCGTCTTCTTCGCGCCCGCGGAGGGGCGGGCGTACCTGCGGCTGCGCCTGCGCGGAGGGCGCCGGGGATGGGTCTCCCTCCTCGCCTGCTTGCTCCCTGTCCCTCCTCGACCCTCGCCGCGGCCTCCGCTCTCCTCCTTTTCTCCTTCAGGTGCCGCCGAGCTCCTCCTCCTCCTCCTCCTCCTCCGCCTCCTCCTCCTCCTCCTCCTCCTCCTCGGCCTCCTCGGAACTCCTCCTCCTCCTCCTCCTCCTCCTCCTCCTCCCTCCTCTCCTCCTCTCCTCCTCCGCCTCCTCCTCCTCCTCATTATCCTCCTCCTTCTCTCCTCCTCCTCCTCTCCTCCTCCTCCTCCTCCTCCTCCTCCTCCTCCTCCTCTCTCCTCCTCCTCCTCCTCCTCCTCCTCCTCCTCCTCCTCCTCCTCCTCCTCCTCCTCATTTTCTCCGTGCTATCTACCAGGAGCTGAAAGCGGATCTGGCGAGTCCCCCTCAGCGGCGAATCTTGCGCTGGCGTCCCAGGTCACAGAGGCAACGGGCCGTTGAACAAGGCCCACCGTGAACGATCTCCGCAGCCACGTCATGGAGCTGGGCGCAGTGTCGCTCTCGGGTTCCGACGTGCTGGCAGCGGGGACCGCCCAAGGTTGAACGATCCAAGCAGAAGTTGTTCGAAGGCCGGATTTGGGCACTCGAAGAAGAAAAAACGCCTCCGGCACCGCCCCTGGCGCGCTCCACGCGCCAGGGAGGGGGGTCCAGCGCAGATCCAGATCCAATACATCGGCCCGCTCTTCGGGAAGGAGGAGGAGGAGGAGGAGGAGGAGGAGGAGGAGGAGGAGGTGGAGGTGAAGGAGAAGGGAGGAGGAGGGAGGAGGAGGAGGAGGAGGAGGGAGGAGGAGTGGAGGGGAGGAGGAGGAGGGGGAGGACGATTGAAACAAAAACCTGAACGAACCAAGCGGTGTCAGAAAGCCAGCGCCCGCGGCGCCGTGGTGGGAGCCCGCCACGCCTCTCCCCGCGTGGAGGCTGCGCTCGGCCCGGTGGTCGGCCTCGCGTCGTTGCGCGTGCTCGGCCCCCGGCCCCCCCCGCAGGGCGCCCTACAGTAGGAGCTCTGCCACAAGAAACCTTCTACAAGAAGCCCAGCCCTGGAACCCCAGGACGTCCAGGGTTTTTTCGCGCGGGAGCGTCACGCGTTCCATCGCAAAGCCCTCGAAGCCACTGAGACCCATGGCACCCCGAAGGCAAGCAGGGTGTTTCTTGGCATGGGTTTCCACTGTATGATTTTCCTCCGTCCTTCGCCTCCCCACAGGGCCCATTTCGATCCGATCGATCCGGTTCGATGCCAATTTTTCGGCCGGCCAGATATGGTTCGATTCCGACGTGCTGTGGATCCGAGGTGACCCGATGTTTGCTTGAGCGCTGTTGTGCATCCTGGCGCGGCGGCCAATTCAAATCGATTTCGACTCCGTGCTAATGCGGCCTGAGCCGACGCGTATTCCGATCCTCCGATTTCCCGATCCGATGCTGACCGATCCTGCCCCATCGCGAGCTAATGGGAACCGCGCTACCCGATGCCAGGAAACGTGTCGTGTCGTCGCGACGGAGACCTCGCCGAGGGCGCTCAAGATTGAACGCCGCCGGTTGCCCAGAGTCGGCCAATATGGAGCGACCTGGCGATCGAAAAGCCGCCGATCGTTCAAGGCTGAACGATCCATGCGGCTGGAGTCGTCACAGCACGAACTTGCGCTGCCCGACGGCAGGAAAAGGACTCCAGCACGATGCCTTGTCGCATGTGCCTGCTGCGGTGCCCACCCACTTGGCTATCCACCCCCCTCTGCCTCCGCCGAGCGCGGCCGTGCTGGCAGCATGCGTGTAAGTGCAAGTGCACGAGCAAGTGCAAGAGCAAGTGCAAGTGCAAGAGCAAGTGCAAGAGCAAGTGCAAGTGAAAGTGCAAGTATAAGTGTAAGTGTAAGTGTAAGTGTACGTGTGTGTATGTGTGTAAGTGTACGTGTGTGTACGTGTGTGTGTGTGTAAGTGTAAGTGTAAGTGTAAGTGTAAGTGTAAGTGTAAGTGTAAGTGTAAGTGTACGTGTGTGTGTGTGTGTGTGTGTGTGTGCGCGCCTGGGGTGCAGCCCCCGCAGCGCTGCAGCCGCGCCCGCGGGGCTTCAGCACCCCCGCCGAGCAGCGGCGACCGACGAGCCCGCCCCCTCCCAGGAGCGGCGTGCCGCCCCGCGCGTCCTCGCGCCCGCAGGCCCGCCGCGGAGCCTCGCTTCCGGGCCGAGGCCCCGGCGCGCCGCCCCGTGCTGGGCCGCAGCCCCGGAGCCGATGCCAGCGCGCGCTCTCGGGCGCGGCGTGGTGGTCGATGATCCTCAGGACCGTGTGGTAGGCCAATGTAGGTGAGGCGCTGCAAACAGGGCCTCGCCTTCGAGGGTCGAAGGAGTTGTCACCTCTTCCGCGGCGGAAGGCGGCGAAAGGGCGGCAGGTCGGCGGAAGTAAAACGAGGCCGCCTCCGCCCGCGGGAGCCGGCGGAAGGGCGGCGGCAGGTGGCGGAAGCAAAGCATGCGCCCCAAAGAGATGCAGGGTGCAGGGTTTCCGGGTGCAGGGTCTTCGGGATCCGCCACGTGTTATCCCGCTCGCTGCGCGGACTTGCTCTCCAGCACGCGCGCGGCGGCCTTCGCGGTCCGAGCGTGCCTCCCGCCCGTGCCCCCCCCGCGGGCCTTCCTTCCTTGCGTTCACTTCGTGCCTGGCTGTGCTCTGGCGCGTCCCGCCGCCGCTGCAGGCTTCACCGCCGCTTGGAGCTCTCACGACCGCCGGCCAACAACAACCTATCCCGTGCAGCTTTGTCGATCGCGTGCTGCCCTTGTCGCGGCCCTCGTCAGGAGCTCCGGTGGACAGCACGCACGCTGTTGCCGACGCACGTTCTGAGGATGATCGAATTGGGGGGGGGGCGGTCAAGGGGAGGCGAAGTCAGGCGCACCCCTCGTGCCCTGAACGGGGCCCCCCGGGGCTGGGGCCTGGAAGGGGGCACGATAGGTGCACGCTTCTCAGAGCGAACACGCACATGAACCTACGTTGGTTTCGAGAGTACGAATTGCGCGAATGTTCGTACCACGCGGCCGGTGTCGCGGATTGAGGGGCCGCATTCATGTGTTCATGTACGTGGTTGGACGCGTACGTCCTTCGTGGGTTCCTTAGTTTCGCTTTTGCCCCCCCCCCCCCCAGTTATCGCCCCCCCCCCCCCCCTTCCACCGAGTAAGCAAAGCTCGACACCCGACTCTCTCTCTCCGTCGCGGCGGCAGGGCCCCCAACAGGGACAGCCTGCAGCGGCCGCGGGGCGCAAAACCTCCACGGCGCCACGATCTCTCGCGCTCCTACCGGGGTGCCAGAGGGGCCTCGAAACAAGACCCGATAAGCCACGAGACCCTGCTCCTCTCTCTCGCTCTCTCTCTTTCTCCCCGAGTCTCGGCTTGAGGACCCCCCGAGGTCCGAGCGCAGCCACTCGGGAGGCAGCCTTCGCGCGGCGAGGCACCGCATGGCGCTGAGCCAGCACCCCCCGTCCTCTTCGCCATCCTCCGGAGGCGGCGTCTGCCCCCCTCGGTGCCGCAGGCGGCAAGCGCCGCCCTCTCCGTCAGCTTCGTACACAGCGCTGGGGGGGGGGGGGGGGCGCTTCCGAGCGGTCGCCCATCTGGGCCAGCTCAAGTCCGATGTCCCCGGAGGCCTCTCCTGGAACATTCGGGGAGGCCACCCAGTTCCAATCCGACGTTTGGGTGGTAGGCCGGCGCGCTGGGCGCGCCTGCGGCCATGCCGGGGGTCGCCTACGGGCGACGGCCGACGTCGCTCTCCAGACCTGAGGATGCGGTTTCGCTTGCTGCTGTAGGGTCGACGTCGACTGCGGTTGAGCGGGTCTCACCGCTTGCCTTCCCGTGCCGTTGCGCTCACCAGCTCGGCGCGCCCTCGGTGCCGCGGGCTCTCCCCTATCTTGTTTCCATCTCTCGTCCCTTCCTCCTCCTCCTCCTCCTCCTCCACCTCCTCCGCCTCCTCCTCCTTTTTCCTCCGTTTTCCTCCTCCTCCAGGCCAGTGCAGTTCGGACTGTGAGCCTTGTTTCGGCTCGCATCGTAAATGGTTTGGTTTCGAAGGAACCTTCTCAGAGTACAGTCTGAATTAACGAGGTAGTTTAGCCCACGTTCAGACAGGGACTCCATGAGATTCTGCTCTGCCCTGCTCCTCTTCCTCCTCTTCCTCTTCCTCCTCCTCCTTCTCCTTGTTCCTCCTCCTCCTCTCCTCTGCTCTCGGCTCTCTCTCCTTCCTTCCCTCCTGCTCGTCCTCCTCCTCCTCCTTCTCCGTCTTCTCCCTCCTCGAACTTCCTGCCTCGCCCTTCTTGTCCTCCGCGTCATCCGTTCTCATACCCCTCCTTGCTTTTGTCCTCGTCCTTCTGCGCCTCCATGCCGTGTCTCGTCATACCTCCATTGGTACTCCTCATCGGTCTGCGAGCGTGCGCGCAATGACCTGCGCAAGCTGGCGGTGGTGCCAGTGTCGAAGCGGAGGAAGCCCTTGAGCGCGAAGGCCCTTGCTGACATCTTCTTGCGGCAGGGGCTTATGTGGAGAGTGATCAAGAGACAGGGGTAGCAAGAGCCAAAGAGAGAGAGAGAGAGGGAACAAGAAGAAAAAGAGATCGCACACGATAACAAAGTTGGAGGAGGAAGAGGATGAGCAAAGATGGAGGGAGGTAGGGCCAAGTATGGAGGGAGAGAGGGGACCATAGAGACAGAGTCGTGGCGGGGGGCACTTCAGTGGGGTCGTGGGACTTGGAGAGGTGCACGGGTGGGGCAGTTCGTGAAGGAATGTGCCCAGGAGGCTTCAGACCCTGGAAGACTCCTAATGTGATGAGGGCGGCGGTGATCATCCGTGGCCAAGCCTCCATTGGTGTTCCACCGGCTTCCAGACCCTGGGTTCCTGGTCTAAGGGTGCCTTGTCCAATGCCCTCGCCGCGCGGGGAGGATTGCCATGCAGAGTTCTTGTCCTGACTGGGCGTGTGCCTGCCAAGAGGAATGTCGTGTCGAACCCTCC